CGGTGTCGATCTGCGTGCGGGTGTGAGTCCTGGGGTGTAAGTTGTAGCCGTGTTGGTCTAAGGACATAGGCAGACAAGGTTCCTTGGGTGAATTTGATATCTTTTATTAGACCAACCAGGTGTGAGCCCTGCACACGCAGGCACTGGGCCCCTCTGTTCTGCTGCCTCAGTCTGCCCGGCTTTCCCCGGGGCTCCAAGCCTCTGCCCACCCCGTGTGCGTGTTGGGGGCGGCATGCCTCCAGGCTGCCTCTCCTTTGTAAGCCTCGTGCTCAGGAGTCAGCACTCGTGGCAGAGGTGATCATCTTGTACTGGGCCAGCTAGATTTTTTGCAAAAAGGAAAACAAATTGTTAATTGCAAGCTTTTGGGCACACGAGCCCTTCTTCGGGCATCGGAAAAAAAAATGGTGGAAGTTCTCCCGGGTAGAAATAGGCGAGGTTCTTTGAGTAGATGTGATATCTTTTATTAGACCAACTGAATAGGTTGAAGAAAGAGGCTTTCGGAGTTCAAATTTTCCACTTTTCTGGCAAATGCTGAAAAAGCCTCTAAACTTCAGTGCATGGGTAGGTAAAAAATGTCTTGTTAATGTTACCAGAGGGTGAAATGTTCTAGGGTGCGCTGCTGATGGTAGGTAGCTCTAAACATTTTTCTTGAAGTTTCACTTAAAAGTCAGCCTTGAAATGAAACTCAGTTCAGTTCAGTCCTTTTTTTAAAAGTAACGGGGTTTTTTTTCTTCTATTTTAGCTCTTGGATCCTCTTCAAGAAACTAAATCCACCTTGGAAGAAGAGTATTCTGAAGTAGATTTTCCCACGTTAACAAACGTATGAATCCTTAATTATTGCCTTTGGGTGTGTTTAATATTCCATCGTGCTCATAAGAACTTCATTTTTAATGTTTTTGGCTTTGGTTTCAATGTTGGGTCGATTTTATTAGAGCATAAACATTCTCAGAATTGATCTTAAACTGCCTTTGAAGCTCAGGGTCAGGTTGTCATCCACTAAAAACAGGCTTGCTGTTGTATTGGAACAGAAGAGGTTCTTTTCAGTTTACCCACCTTGTGGCTCTTACGCTGTTCTGTATTGTTGGTTTCATTCTCTACTAACTAATCACTCACTCCCCCTGTAGTTATTTGTCTTTCACGCAGCAGAAAAGAAAAAAACACACACACCACCTTTACCAACTCTAACTAGGGGTAAGACAGGTGTGACTGACTTTTTGAGGCTGACTAGATTTTAGGCTAATAGAGCTGCTGCTTAAGAAAATGTAAGTTTAAGCCAACTCCTATTAAGGGGTCAGGAAGAACCTTTCTCCAGGACAGCAGGCTATCGCATAGCTGCCTGCAAAGTATTTCTTGCATTGGGTAATATTCAGTTACCAACAGTGATGACCAAATGAGATGGTGCTGGTCTGATTTGATATGGAAATTCTTACTTGCCTATTACCTTCTTGATAAGCTGGCTGAGGGCAACATCCTGAGGGACAACCAGCATGGGTTTGTCGCAGGTAGGTCTTGCCTGACCAATCTCATCTCCTTCTATGACCAGGTGACATATATCACCTGGACAAGGGAAAAGAGATTGACATCATATATCTGGGCTTTAAAAAAGCCTTTGATCTGGTGTCCCACGATCTCCTCATGGAAAAATTGGCCAACTGCAACCTCGGCTACATCACAGTCTGATGGCTGGGGAATTGGCTCCCAGGTTGGACCCAGAGAGTAGTGGTCGATGGTAGTGAATTATGGTGCTCCATGACCAGTGGTGTCCCCCAAGGCTCTGTCCTTGGACTGGTTTTCTTTAACATGTTTATCAACAATGTTGACTATGGTGTCAGAAGTGCACTGGCCAAGTTTTCCAGTGACACTAAACTTCGGTGCATAGCATCCATACCTGAGGACAGCTGGTGATCCAGGCCGACTTGGATAAGCTTAGTAAGTGGGCAGATACAAACCTGATGACATTCAATACCGATAAATGCAAGGTACTCCACCAGGGAGTGGGGGGGAATGCAGCATGCTTATAGGCTTGGCAGTGCTATGCTCACTAGCACCACAGCTGAAAGACTTGTGGGTCGTGATTGACCACAAGATGAACATGAGCCACCAATGCGATGTTGCAGCTGGTAAAGCAAACAAAACTCTAGCTTGCATCTATAGCTGCTTCTCAAGTAAATCTCAGGATGTCATCCTCCTGCTGTACTCAGCCTTGGTGGGGCCGCAGCTGGAGTACTGCATCCAATTCTGGGCTCAACAATTCAAGAAGGATGTTGAGAAGCTTGAGAGAGTCCAGAGGAGAGCCATACACATAATCAGAGGGCAAGAGATTAGGCCTTATGAAGAGAAGCTAAGGCTCTGTTCACCAGAGCACCCCAAAGGACAGCAAGGACTAACGGTCATAAACTCCTCCAAGACCATTTTAGGCTGGACATAAGGAAACATTTCTTTACTGTCTGAGCCCCCAAGGCCTGGAATAGACTCCCTCCAGAAGTGGTGCAGGCACCTACTTTGGACTCATTCAAGAAACGCTTGGATGCTTATCTTGCTGGGATCCTTTGACCCTATCTGACTTCCTGCCCCTGGGGCAGGGGCTGGACTTGATGATCTTCAAGGTCCCTTCCAGCCCTAACGTCTATAAAATCTATGAAAGCTTAATGTACACTTTAAAAAATAGCGAATAGGCATACTTCCAAAAGTCTCTTAACATGTCAGTGAAAACAACTTATTTGGATGAAAATCTACTGTTTGTGATCCAATCCCAGGAATATGCTGCTAGTGTACTAGAGCTTGAAAATAATATTGACTTAAACAGTGACTTCAGCTAGTGTTCTAACAAAAACAACGGAAATGTTTTTGTCTTCTCATAAAACTTTCCCCAAACTTTAACAATTCATAGTATGCACTTATAAATGCATAAAGGCCCAAAACGTCATAAATTCACATGAATGGCTTGCAACACAAGAGAGACTGGGCATTTTTACTTTTACCATGGTAGCAACTGGTTTGTAATGGATGCTTTTGTCAAGATCAGTAGAGATGAACACTTGAATTTGCAACTATCTTCATGCATTGGCTATATTTCAAAACTTAGAATTTAGTAATATGGGTATCCTATCCATGGCCTGCCTCATTCCATATCCTATTGCTGTTGACAGCTTTTATCTAAGCATCCAGTGCTAAGCTTGCCTCATGCCCCAGGCTAGATCTGGCCACCAGACTCCTTATGAGACAGATCTAGCCCCAGGCACACAATGGTTCTAGTTCTGAGCCAGGGCATGCAGTGGCAGTGACAGCGGCAGCTCTGGTTCTGGCACAGGGCTTATGGTGGTGGCTCCAGCGTAGGGTGATGGCAAGGCTAGCAGTGAAGTAGGTAGGGGGAGTGCATGGACCAAGTGGTGGCTTGCCACAGCTGTGGTGATGGGCCAAGCCACTGCAGGGCAGCCCAGGTTGTATCAGCCCTTGCTCGCCCTCCTGCTGCTGATTGCCATATCCATTGGGACTCAAGAGCCCCAGATTGTGCAGCAGCCATTCTCCCTGGCCACAACTCCCAACTTCTGGTTGCCTGCTGGTAGCTCGGCAGGCTGGATAGAGTGGTTCCTTAGGCCAGATGCAGCCTATGGGGCATTATGTTTGATGCCCCTGCTTTAGATGAAAGACAAGGAACTGCTTAGTGGCTAGTTAGTATATTTCTCTAACCCTGTCAGTGGGTAGCACAAGGGTTGATAGTTTTTAGGTTAAGTATGCTTCCCTTCCATTAACTTACATTGTTTTTGTTTTGTAAGGATCACCATTTACCTGTTCCCGTACCTGATGTCCCCTCCTCACCATGTACAGAATTTCCTGTAGACTGGAGTATTAAAACTCGAATTCTGTTCACTTCCTCCCAACCTTTCACTTGGGCAGAACATTTAAAGGCTCAAGAAGAAGCACAAGGGTTTGCTCAGCACTGTAGAGCAACAGAAGTTAACCTGCCACAAAGCATACAGGTAATCTGTCTTCTTTCTTTATTGGCTATGCGGCCCAGATTATAGGTAACCTTGCAAGTTGGCTACTGATGAAGGAAGCAAAAGACAGGTTTATATTGACCTTATAATGCTTACACCCCAAAACACAAAAACAAATGCTTGTCCCAAAGTCCATCTAGCTACCTGTGACAGCACAATGTAGACCCCCACATACCTGCACTGGCTGAGGAGACATAAGAGGTGGGGAGGAAGGTGGCATGCAGGCTGGCAGTAGGTCTTGTTTAATTCTCCAAATTTTCCTCCAGCCTATACCCTGTATTTATAGATGTCTTATTCTAAATATTCTAATAAATGTTCTCTGATTGATTTTATTTAAATGTTTTGGTTTTACTGAAACTTTGGGAGCTGGACTGAACCAGGTTTCTTGCGGACTTGAAAATTGTCAGTTCAGATTTAATTCTTTGGGAAAGTAAATTGGAGGTTTTTTATCTTCCTTCCTATGCCATAGTGGAGTGCTGTTCAGCACTGTTCTGTTTCTTCTTTACCTTAGTTTATGGGCTTCTCTGACAAGGCTGTTTTATTTTTACAACTTATCTAAGAATCTTAAGACATTTTTTAAAGCAAAATAATATCTAATACATTTGGTTATATCAATTACTACTACTAATATTTTTAGGGTAAAGCTGTTGTACAGTATATTTGGATTATTTAATGTATGGTCCCTTATACTGTTTCCTTTCTGGAGTTGTGCTGTAGTAGTTAATTGGATCTCATTACTGGTTTAGCTGGACATGTTGATTGCTTCCTTTACTTTGCTGACCAAGCTGGTTGTCACATCTGCAAAGGTTCACTCTATGGTCACTTAGAAGCAGGCTTTGGGGCCTTCTGCTTTGCCTTCTGCAGCTTGGCCTGGGTCCCTTGAAAATGGCCAAGGTTGGCAACAACTGGGATAAGAGATTGGAGTACCTTGTCCAGTTTTAGAGAGGAAAACTCCTTTTAAATATTAAATGTAATGCAGAATTTTGGGGAAAGAATTGAAAAGACTCACTTGCACAGAGAATAGCCCATATTGAGCAATTGTTGTGGCTTTACCAATGCCAATTCCTTCATGTAAACAAAGGCGACTCTCACTTGCAAAAACTAAAGCAGCAGAGTTTCTCTTTCTTGGCTGTGGCAGAGTTTCTGTGCTGCTGCCCATTGTTTTCTGATGTGGGATTATTCAACAGTGTAGGTAAACTGGTATTTTAAAGTGTTTAAGACCTTATCAGTATTCCCTTCTCCTGCAAGTAAGGCATTATGGATCTCATCAGGTGTTAATTTAAATCTAGGAACCAAAGCTGTCCACAGAGCTTCGCTGTGCATTCCAGCAAAGCCTTATTTACTGGCTTCACCCTTCGCTGCCATGGCTGCAGCTGTTCCCTCGAATTGGAGCAGATAGGAAAATAGCTGGAAAGGCTAATCCTTGGTCCCATGATGAAGAACTGCAACAAGTTCTAATGAGTGAATGGTAAGTTAGTTAGATTGAAGAACTTTATCCGTTGTTTCTATGGGAAATTCTTTCAGCAAGGAAGTTTGCTTTGTGGGTCTCTGTGTATTCCCACTTATGTAGTCCAAAAATGCTAATGTTGAGCTGTACTGGAAAAACAGTGTCTGGTGCAAGTGCATGAGAGAGTTTGGCATGAGGGTGATCCTACTCTGAAGAGGAACAACTCTCCAGACACCTCTGTTTCTTTGTTGCGGTTTCTTAGAAAGCAGGCTCCCTTTTTCCATTAAGTCTGCTTTTCTCTCATAGGAGAGTATAGAAATAGATGATGGATTACTGCCACAACCTGCCCTCATCTTGGGGAGCCTGTGGCTATGAGTCTCATAAGGGTGTCAAGAAGTATGTCTTCTTTCGACTGTCTATACCAGAGACCAACATGTCTGGTGTCTTCTGCATCTGAAATAGACTAGCTCACTAAGCTGGTGTGCAGTTTGATGCACCTTTGCTGCTTATACTAGAAGGGGAAGAGATGTTTGATGTTCTAGGCTCATCTGGTATGTCTAGCAACAGCCTCAGAAATACAAACACTAGACTCCTTGCCAAGGTTTTCTGACACTAGACCCAAGATGCACCTGGTTATTCTGGGATCAGACTGCCTATCATGGGCCTTCCATCTGATTTTTGAGAACACACCCTTTAACTGGTGCTACTGCTGAAATTAAAAGTAGGACCAAAGACTGAAACAGCACTGCCTCCATAAGCTTCAGTAGCTTTGGTGATGGCATAAAAAGTTCCCAGCTTGTTGCTTGAGTATTCATTATCCTTTCCCTTGACACCAGCTCAAATCTGTCTGCTGCTGCTACCCCGTCTACACAGTACAAGTGTAAAATGCATTTTTATCTGGAAAAGACTGTTGTCTAGGTTATTTGTTGCATGTGATAAAAAGCACCAACTGCCAAGAACAGCTTCCCCACTTTGCAGGGGAGCACTGCTCTCCTTTCTCATCCCTTCCCCTAGGCATCCCATTCTCCCCCCCCCCCCTTTTTGCCCAGTCCAGGGGGACCCAGGGTTTTGCAAG